TTCATCTAAGTGGACAAATCAAATATCAAGTCCCTTGCCACGTAGGACTGAGATGCGCCACACGAGACAGTCCTCCAAACAGCAGTTAACGGTAATTAGCAAAAATTAAGTTGGCTGTGAGAGTAAGGGCTAAATTGCTTCTATTGCAGAGTTCAGGGGCTTAATAGCGATCCTGGGTCAGTTCAGGGGCTTAACTTATGGTTTTGCCAAAGAAAAACCCTAGAACCTAAAGCACTCAAAAGGCCCATACTCGGTGGAGCTGCCCATTTGGATCTACATATTCCGGACTTCTGAAATGTGATTTTGGGCCTTGAAATTGCAGAAAAACAGCCCATATCTAACCCCTTTCGGCTGGAGAAGAGATCTGAACAGAAGCTTATCTGATCTGCAGTCAAAACTGGGAGCTCCAGGGAAGCTTCTTCTCGTTGGGGTCGCGTGAATTGCACCTCCGCCCTTGATCGACAGATCCGGTCTCATTTGTTCTCGTTCTGCTACTCACTTGCCGGCGTGGATTGTATTTGCCCGTGAAAATGGTTCGGAGGGGGTAGATGTGAGATGAAAGGATTTAGGAGATTAATTGAGACAAAGGGGAAATTCTGGCGTGGAAGAGAAATCCTTGGTGGGAGAAGGAGAAAGAAGACAGTCGCCGGTGGTTTCGAAAAGAGATGGCTGCCGGCTGCTTTAGGGAATAGGAAATCCTTGAAAAGAGAGACCGAGGGTCATGCGAAAAAGGAAGAGGAAACTCAGAGAGTTTTGGCGTGAAAGAGAAATCCATGATGGGAAAAAGAGAAGAAAGATAGTCGCCAACGGTTTCTAGGGGGAAGAGATGACGGTTGGCTGGTTTGCAGAAAAGGAAATCCAGGAAGAGGAAGAAAGAAACCGAGGGTTGACTGGAAGGAGGAGGGGATCCGAGTCTTTATCTCTCTTTTTTCTTCTTCTTTTTAGGCTTGAAACGGTGAGTTTCGAGTTTGGAATTGGGTTTGAATGGCTAGTGGGCTCAATTGGGCCTAGGTCTTTTAAATTGAAATGGGTTGGTATTGGATTGGGTTTGGGTTTATTGGGCTCAAAGTTGGGATTTGGGCTGGGTTTCAGTTTTTAACTTTAATGCATTTCATCCCTCCAACTTTCCATTTCTTCAATTAAGTCCTTTCTCTCATCTTCTTTTCCACTTCTTCATGAAATTTCCTTTTTACCCACAAACCTAGCAATAAAAACAAAACAAAACAAAACATATTAGTTAAAATAAAAACTGAAACGAAATTCTATTAAAAATTTGAGTTATAACACACCTCATTATTAAATTTTATGCCCAAATTGGCTAACTCCTTGATGATACCAAGTAAATCATTAACATGGTCCGTTGTGAAATGCCATTATTATCAATCCATTATCGAATAAATCTACACACTCGCCTATAAAGCAACCTCCATTCTTCATCCTTCATGTTGTCTGGCTTTTGCTTCGAAAAGACAGGTTCATGAAATTCCTTCACATAAAAATGGTCTTCCATTTTCCCCTTCCACAGCTGATAATTTGAACTATTCAATGTGATCATTTTGCTCTGATTCACCTCCATTGTTCACGTAAATATTAGCAGTGCCTGGCACTAACACCAGTTATTGGGAAAATTGGCTCAGCGGAATAAACTAATTTCTGTGAACAAAAACACGTGAACAATAACAAAGGACCATCAAACAGGTGACTTAGTCAACCAATATTAATGATTAGTGAAAAGGCAGCATAGTAAGCCAAGCAAAATAAAAATGGGCGATTTAACCAACCACTTAGAAAGAAAATAAAATAAAACGAGTTGTTTAACCAGCCACTTAAGAGGAAAAATAAATAATGAGACCACACCAAATTTTACATGAAAAAACCCCTAAAAACTATTGAGGGAAAAAACCAAAGGACAAACTTTGAAGGGTATTCCATTATGTAATAAAATTGTATAGAGAATACACTCAAGTATTTTTCTCTCTTGATGTTTCCTACTCCTCCCAAGATATGATCACAATTCTGATAAACTCACAATTTTATTACTCAATGTACTCTCTTCATGGGGCACACTCACACCTAAGTTTAATGCCTAGCTCTCACCCCCTTTTTTTCTTTCACCAAAACTCTCACTTTGCTCACTTGGTGCTACATTTGCTTCTTGCTTGCTTGCCATTGCATGGGTATTTATAGGGTCAAAACCCAGCCACCCATGCATGATTTTCCTCCCTCATTAAATGAGTAAGCTTGCAATAATTGAAATAATCATGCAAGACTTCAACAAGTGCTACTATAGGTGCAACCTTTTACGATAGGGTGTGAAAATTTTACCACATGAAAAATCCATGTCTTCACATGGGCTGGAAGTTTTTGCCAACAATGTGATCCGGGAAATTGAACAGTTCAAGTAAGTTTAGAAAATTTGAGTTTGAGAATTCCATACTTGTTTAGACATTCAAAGTATGATGAAATCAAGAACTAAACTGAAACTGGCACTGGACTAAGAGCATCTCCAACGCATGCTCACTTCAGTGTTCATGTCAGAAAATACAACAAAGCCTTAGTGTTTTCTTCATTGAAGCATTTTCAAAAATCAAGCTTTGTTCTCTTAATAGAGACAGCTCGTAAAACTTTTTTGGGCTCAAAAAGGGGCCGAAACAACGTTGTTTAAAGCCCATTTAAAACCGAAATTATTGACTGGCCTGACAAGCGCTTCAGCGCATTGTAGTGTCTCAACAACGCCAAGCCATTGGATTTTGAATCCAACAGCTTGGATCTTTTAAAAATAAAAAATAAAAATAAATAAATTATTTAAATTATATAAAATATGAATAGAATGAAATACTAATAGTTTTTTATTTTTTAAAAAATTTTGTCGAAAGTGATATATTAGATCTTCT